TAAAATCACTTTAAAATGGGTGTGGTTTTACACGTACATTGACTAGAAAAGCATGTCAAATCTTTTGTGATTTGCTTTCGGAATTTTAGCAGATGCTACTAAGATGGAAAGAAACAGGAGCTCTTTTTGGGAAACTGGATCCACAAGCCATGGCTCATCAGGAGCTGAGTTTGACGTGTTCTTGAGTTTTCGAGGACCGGATACTCGCGCGAACTTCACAGATTCCCTCTATCATGCCCTGCTAGATAAGGGTATCCAGGTTTTCATAGACAAGAAAGGAATTAATGTCGGTGAAGAGATCGGCCCAGAGATTTTCCAGGCCATCGATGACTCGAAAATCTGCATTCCCATCTCCTCTAGGGGCTACGCATCCAGTGAATGGTGCTTGCGCGAGGTGGAACACATGATGGAGCTTAGGAAAACCAACGATCAAGAGGTTTTGCCCATTTTCTATGACGTGAAACCCTCTGACGTGATGCTTGAAACCGAAGTGTATAAGGATGTGTTAACTCTGCATGAAGAAAAACACGGGACTGAGATTGTGCAGCTTGGGCAGAGGCACTCAAGGAGGTTGCTAGAGTCAAGGGATGGGACACAAAGAACCAAGGGTAAATTAACACACTGAACTCTGTCTTCTTGTTTCTTCTCCGTTTATTTTGCTTGATTATTGATTGTATTCTGAAGAGCATAATTTTTTCTTTGTTTTAGACCATAACTAACTTGATTATGTTGTGTGTGCTAACACAGCCACAAAGAACTCGCACGATTGATTGCTCAGAAAGTATTGGTTAAGCTTAAGGTGTCTTATGTTCATATATCTGATAATCTAGTTGGAATGGATGAATCAGTGGACGAAGTAGTAGATTTGCTGAATGTCAAATCTAAGGACAGAAGACTCATTGGAATTTGCGGAATGGGTGGAATAGGCAAGACAACTCTTGCCAAGGTTATTTACCAAAAACTTTTTACTAATTTTATAAGTTGCAATTTCATTTCAAATATCCGAGAAGCATCAAAAAGTCTTGGTCTGTCAAATTTGCAAATGCAACTAGTCTTTGATATCCTTGGCAATGTAGGAGTTGAACTTTCTAGCGTCGATCATGGGATAAATATGATCAAAGATAGATTCAAGATGAAGAAAGTTCTTATTGTCCTTGATGATGTAGATCATAGGAGCCAACTTATGGCATTAGCAGCAAAGACAGAATGGTTTGGTTTGGGAAGTAGAATAGTTGTTACAACAAGAGATAAAAGTGTTTTAACTGGATTCCAAGATCAGTTTGAACATTGTTTGATTTATGAAGCTAAGGGACTCAAGGATCTCGAAGCTCTTAAACTCTTTAGCAAGCATGCCTTTAGAAGCAACTCTCCTCCAAATGCATTTTTGAGTCTGTCTCAAAAAGTTACTTCAAAATCGGAGGGCTTCCATTGGCTATTGAAGTGATGGTCTAATTATTATACGGGAAAAACAAAGCAGTGTGGCAAGATATAGTCAAAAAGATGGAACATTACCCTCATAAGGATGAGAAGGAAAAGTTAATGTTGAGTTATGAGGTGTTAAATCATCGGCAACGACAAATATTTCTTGATGTTGCTTGCTTTCTAGCTGGAGAAAAAAAGAGTTATGCAGATTACATGTGGTATGACTGGATTTTTTCTGAATGAGGGGGTTGAAGTTCTACTTTTGATGTCCTTGGTAAAAATTGCAGAAAACAATCAACTGTGGATGCATGATCAGGTCAAAGATTTAGGCAAGAGCATTGTCTACCAAGAAAATTGTAAAGATTCAGGACAATGTTCACGGGTGTGGAATCATGAAGAAGCTCTTGATATGATCAAGAGAAAGAAGGTATAAGACCAAGTGCACCCTCCTCTGCTTTGTCATTGCAGAAATCTTCCTTGGATTGTTTTCCCTTCATTTCAAACATTATTTGGAACTCACATTTAACTGACTCTTTCCTCATTTTAGGGAACCGAAATTGTTGTTGCGATCAGTATGAACTTTGGCAGGTCTAGACCAGCCATTGTTTTGACATCAGATGAATTTATGAAAGTGCCAAGTATTAGATTTCTTGAAATGGCTGGTGGGAACCTCTCTGGAGACTTTGAGGATCTCTTTTCAGAATTGAGATGGCTTTCTTGGAAGAATGGTCCTTCCATGCTGAGTGCGACCAACTTTTGCCCAAAAAATCCACTCATCCTTGACCTATCGAGGAGCCGAATAGACGAACTTTGGGGTGGTTGGACTCAACTCAAGGTATGTGCAAATGATTAAATATAACATGCTATATTTTCTTGCAGTCACACCAGGTCTTGTGTCTCATGGGGTTGTAGATTGTTATTTTATTGCTCTTTTTTCAATTAAATTTTGTTGCCTTAATTCAAACAAACCTTGGTCTTTAAGAATGCCTATGACACCAATCCCTCATTCCATAGGTTTGAAACACAACTGTTGAGTTTTCATTAAAAGTATGTCGAATCAAGCAATGACTTTAGATAGATGTCAAAGATGTGATTGAAGACATAATGCTACTTGCATATCCATGTTATTCACACTTTGGTTGAAGGAAAGAATGTTACCCTCGATCACTTTTATCTCATTCTTTTGATATTGCATTCACAGACATTACGTTGTGTAGATGGAGAACATGTGTAGATTTTTCAAGATAGCTTTTTTTCATTTTTATCGAATCAAACAATTAGCTTACCAAAAATAAAAATTAAAAATTAAGATTTGGTTGTTGGTCGTTAATCCGCATTGCATTTATAGTTTTAGATTGATACTATGTTACTGCTGTTTTTGTTATTTTGGCAAATCTTTTCCTGATGACTTTCTTCATTTCAAATTGATTGTAGCTGCATGAGTAAAGGGTATTGTAATGTGTACATTTTGTATTACTAGAAACTACATTTTGGTTATCACAATCAATAAAGGAAATGACTTGATTAGATATTCATACATATTTCGTAATTTCTGTAATTTATAGGATTGTAAATCGTGTAATGGAATATGTCATCTCTTAATATATGTTGACTTACATTACTTTTTAAAGAACATTATATGAACATTCACGATATTTTGAGTTCCCTAATCACGCCAATAAGTTGTCATTAATAATAATTATTTAAATTGAGTGAAATATAAGTGGTAAAGAAGACTATCTATACTATATGTAGGATGCGCTGCCGAAGAAAAACCAAACGACAGATTTATTTAGTACATCAATACTAATATCGTACTCTTCAAAAGGTTATGTGGAAGCTAATAACGCCCTTGTCTTAATGAATGAAACAAAAAAAATAAAAATAAAATAGTAAACTGCAACTATAGATTAGTTGATACTTAGAAGACATGTAAGATTATTTTCCACATTAATTTTTTTTTTTATGATACATTTACATAGGCAGAGCCGCAAAATTTGGAATCATAAGTACTAGTGTCGGGAACAAAATCGGTAATTCCATGATGAAGTTGAAAAGAGATGTTATAATTTATAGGAGATGTGGTGTTACATTCTTTTGTCTTTTTATTATTGCATACCCGGGTAATTTGAAAATAGATCTATTTTCTTTTATTTGTTACTGGGGACAGTACTGAAGGAAATTTAAAAAATTGAGACAAGAGTGATATTGGCTTAAATTATAGAGGAATGCATATACACAGAGTATTTATAAAGTTACTTTGGTGGAATGCTTCCTTAGTGGATATATTTGTTTTAATCTTACATAACTTCTATAAATCAAACTCATTTAATATACATAATGATTTGACAGGTGGCTACGAGATTGAAGGTCCTTAATCTGTCAAAGTGCCCCAGGTTAAAGAAAACTCCTGACCTCTCTGCATATTTTTCCTCGGAAATATTAATTCTAGAAGAGTGCAGGAACCTGTTAAGGATTGATAGATCTATTGGTCATCTGAGACATTTGACGCACTTAAATTTAAATAGTTGTACTCGTCTCCAAGTGCTTCTTGTTGAATTAGGTTCTTTGAAAGCTTTAACTGAGCTACTCATACGTTACTATAATTTCTTTGGAAGCATTAGTCAAGTCCCGAGATCAATTGGAACACTCAATAAAACTTGAGTGCTTGGCCATTTGTGGAGTTCCTGAGCTAACAACACTTCCCGACTCTATCGGAATGCTGCAATCTTTGGCTGAGTTGGATATCTCAAGCACAGGCATGAGAGAGTTGCCAAATATCATTGTCAATCTAAAGAGCTTGAAAGTGTTGAAGATGAATAGAAGTCACATGTTGAAGAAACTTGAAGAGATCTATGGAGAGTATTACTTGTGGCTAGAGATGATTCCTGGTGATACAGGGAGACTACCTTTCTTGAAGATTTTGAAATTAACACAAACTCGCGTGCAAAATGTACCACAGCTTCCCCAGAGTCTGTCCTCAACAGCGATTAAAAAAGCTCCAAACATCACCAACCTTCTGAGTTTAAGGAATCTGGAATTATGTTTTACCAACTCAACCTCCATCAGAGCTTTTCCAAAAGCGAGAACTTACAGCCCATTTTGAATGTTGGAACTTTCTAATTTCATCGGCTTAAGCTTATATTGGGGTCGCCTTTGCTGTCTAAAAAAACTTCAACTCATCGACTGCGAGAACCTGTGCAACCTTGGACAGCTTCCCTCTAGTTTGAGGAAACTTGAAGTTCGCAGCTGCAATCTTCTTGAAGTTGTTGACCTTTCCAACTTGGTCAATCTACAACTCTTGTTGATTGATACGTCTCCAATTCGATCGGACTGTGTAATTCCTTACGAAGGTGACCTTATCTATCCAACTTGAAGAAGCTGAAGAGAGACTGGCTATGGGGATAACAAGTAGCTCGAAGAGATGATCTCCCACTCTAGCAACTATGATGAAAGAAAAAGGATTAACTGACTTTTATTTAAAACTATCAACCTTAATTTGATCGAGACACCAACGTTCATCACATTAATGTATCAATTAATTTTAATCACTTTACCATTTTTTTTTCTTACTTGGTTTAGAATAGTATCATTATTAAGAGTACTTATACGTAAACTTTACGTCAATAAAAAAATTACATAAACAAATCATCCAACCTAAATGAATATAAGTTAACAAAGTTTCACAGGGGTCGAATGCCCCTTTTCTCTCTCGCTAGGAAGAGCTGCTCTCTACCCCTTTGGTGGTAGTTTTCCTCGAAACCCTAACAATGCCTTGAAAACCTAAACCTCTTTCCAGCATCCTGTTTCATCTCGTCTCTGATAACACACAAGTATTGCTCCGCTTGATTCTTGCGCCTAGGGTTTCTTACCCTAATGTAGTATCTTCTCTCCTTTCTCTGCTGGGCTTCCTTGCGACAACCTGCAACAATGGAGGAAGAACATCAGGATGATGCTCTCCTGGCTTCTCTCTGCAGAAGGTTAGTCAACTTATGGTCACGAAAAGAAATCGTAGTTATATATGATAAATGGGCTTTGGTGGTTAGCCCTAATAAGCCACCGGATTACAAATGAACCTTATAAGCTGGAAGGGGTTGGGCTTACCACTGACAGTTCAATACCTACGAGCTCTTGTGGCTCGCGATAGGCCTGCGGTGATCTTTCTTATGGAAACAAAAAATGGGGAAAATATGGTGTTACGTCTAAAGAAGAGACTGAAGTATCAAGGCAATTTCATTGTCAACCCAAGGGGTATAGCTAGAGGTTTGGCTATTTTATGAACTGACCAGGTAGCAATTTCTATTGAGCAGAATACCAACAGATATATTGATATGGTGTGTGAACTGAAAGATCATAAATTAAGAATGCTTATAACTTGTATTCATGCACCCAGCATATTTCATGATAGACTGATGTTATTGGAGGAGCTGGAAGGTATTAAACATTTGAACTATCTACCGTGGGTGTGTGTAGGGGATTTCAATGAAATACTTTATCCTTGGGAGAAGGTGGGGAGGAGGAAGGCTGAAAATTAACGGCTGGTCGCATTTAATAACTTCCTGAACAGTTGTGATCTTATGGAAGCGGAAAGCAAGGGATGTGCCTTCACTTGGGCTAATAATAGGGAAGGGGGGGAATTTGTCAAGAAGAAACTAGACAGAGTCCTATGCACGGTTGAATGGAGGGTGCTTTTTCCAAATACGGAAGCCTTTGCTTTACCTGCAGTAGGTTCAGACCATAGTCCCATCTTGCTGAGATTATTCCCACTACCAGTGAAAAGAGCAAAACAATGCAGATTTGAAGCATACTGGTTAGAGGATGATGAGTATGGAAATATTGTTAAGGGGGTTTGGCTATCTTCCAAGCAAGAAGGAGCTGATTTACTAACTAAATTGCGGGAAGTGACCCAAACCCTTACGTCTTGGAGTAAGAAAAAATTCTCAAATGCTCATAGGAGAATAGAGACATTAAAGCAAGAGATCCAAACTATAACAAACAACCCAAATATTTCCCAAAGCAAAGAAAAGATACTCAAGCTGAGAGAGGAAATTGGCTCATTGTGGAAAGGGGAGGAAATGTATTGGGGCATGCAATCCAGTATTAGCTGGTTGAAATGGGGGGATAAAAACTCCAAATTTTTTCATGCAACAACTATTCAAAGGAGGCAGCGAAACAGAATCTCTACGCTAGCTAATATAGATGGGGAGTGGACTCGTAAACCTAGTGCTCTAAAGCATATGACAGTGGAATACTCTAAGAGTTTATACACATCAGTAGGGCAGAGAAATTTCCAGTCTATTATCGAGCAAATTCCAACTTTAGTGATGTAAGATATGAATCAAAAGTTGATATCTCAGGTCACCATGATGGAAATTTCAGAAGCTGTACACCAGCTAGGTACTCTCAAAGCCCCTAGTCCTAATGGTTTAAGTGGATAGTTCTTCAAACACCACTGGGAGGACATTAAGCAGGACGTTTTTCAGGAGGTAACTTCCTTTTTTAACATTGGATGTTTAAATGCTGAAGCGAACGGACAAAAACCAAATTACACTTATCCCCAAAATACCCAACCTAGAAAAGCTGGAACAGTTTCGCCCCATGAGCCTATGTAATTTTGTCTACAAGATAATATCCAAAGTTTTGGCCAACAGATTAAAACCTTTACTTCCAGATATTATCTGCGTAGAACAAAGTGCTTTTGTTAGTGGCCGTCAAATTCAAGAGAATATACTCATTGTTCAGGAGGTGCTGCACCATCTGAGAGTGCGTGCAAGTAAGAAGAAGTTCCAAGCTGTGTTGAAGCTTGATATGCAAAAAGCGTATGATAGAATAGAATGGGACTTCTTAAAGGCTTGTTTGGAGAAGATGGGTTTTCATGCGAAATGGGTTAATTGGGTGATGCAGTGTGTCACAACTATTTCCTTCAGTGTTAAATTTAATGGAGAACCCCTTCCCTACTTCAAATCTTCAAGAGGTATTCGGCAGGGAGATCCAATTTCTCCATACTTATTCATCTTGGTGGCAAATGTACTTTCATTAATGATTAAAAGAGTTGTTGAGGATGGCACACTCCAGGGAATTAAGCTGACTAGATCGTGTCCTGTTCTGTCTCACCTTCTCTTTGCAAATGATTCAATATTTTTCTTGGATGGAAAGATCAGTGAGTGTCAAAATATTTCAGTTATTTTGAATCAGTACTGTTTTGCTTTTGGTCAGGCAATCAATCTGAATAAGTCAGGAGTTTTCTTTAGTAAGGGGTGTCCACCGAACTTGAGAAAAAATATGGCAACTGAGTTGAGGGTCCCAGAGATTGAGAAAACAGGGAAGTACTTAGGGATTCCTTCTAATTGGGAAGCGTCCAAAAAAGATATGTTTGCCTGGGTCCTGGCTCAGGTTAATATGAAACTTGAAGGTTGGAAGGAAAATTTATTGTCAAAAGCGGGGAAGGAAGTGTTAATTAAAGCTGTGGTGCAAGCCCTTCCCCAATACGACATGTCAATTTTTAAAATTCCCGTTTCTGTTTGTAAGGTGATTGAGAGGAAAATAGCTAAATTTTGGTGGCAAAACAATGAAAGAAAACATGAGGTGCATTGGAGGAGATGGGATGTGTTGAAACTCAGCAAAGAGCATGGTGGATTAGGTTTTCGGGACCTAATTACTTTTAACAAGGCAATGCTAGGGAAGCAAGCATGGAGAATGTTGAATTCCCCTTCAACACTTTGGAGCCAAAAACTTAAAGGAATCTACTTCCCAGCTAGTGATTTCTGGAAAGCAGGGAAAGGAACACGCCCCTCATGGGGTTGGCAGAGTTTACTAACTGGTAGAGAGTGTATTTCATCTTCTGTTATGTGGGCTGTTGGGAATGGGGAAAACATCAATATCAGAGAGGTTAAGTGGTTGAAAAGAGGAGTCTTGGGGGGACCTGGGAACAGGGGAGACCCCTCAAAGGTTGGTGATTTGATCCTGAAACCTGACGCAAGATGGAATGGAGTCCTTCTAGAGGAACTATTTGACGAACATATAGTGAAGGAAATTATTGCTATTCCGTTAAATCCTCAATTAACAGAAGATAGATTAGTTTGGACAAACACTAAATATGGGAAATACTCTGTTAAGAGTGGAAACCGCAGCAGCAAGAAAATTCTCGAGGGTCCAACTCAGCACTTAGCCTCCTCCTCTTATCAGACCCCCCGACCACTTTGGAGTAAGATTTGGCATGTTAAATCCTCCCCAAAGATTAGATATTTCCTATGGGCTGCTTGCCAGAATGCTCCCCCTACGACAGAAAATTTATTTAAGAGAAGTGTTGTACCTGAACCGACCTGTGCCATTTGTCATCAAGCCCCAGAAACCGTCGATCATTTGCTTCTGCTCTGCCCTTGGACAATGGCCGTATGGTCTAGCCCTATTTTGAACAAGAATATACAGAGTCAGGGCCTAACAAGAATAGACGACCGGCTGCTAAATTACAGGAAATTTGTGCGTAAGCCGACAGACCCACCCCCCTTTGACCTTCTAGTTGTGATTTTGTGGCTGATTTGGAAGGCGAGAAATAATTTTATTTTCCGAAAGTGCAAACCAGAACCCCATTTGCTGGTGGACGAAGCTGTGCAGCTACATCAAGTATTTCTCACAACACAACAGGGAATTAGGGAAGAAACGCACAAAAAACCAACTTTACCTCAGATCTGGGAACCCCCAAATCCGGGAACCCTCAAGCTCAACGTCGATGGCTCTTGCATGGAAGGAAGAATGGAAGGAGGGGTTGCATGTGTGTGCCGAGATGCCAATGGAGTTCTGGTGGATGAGTTCGCTCGCACGGTTCCAGCATCATAGGCAACAATCCAGGCGGAGGCCATCGCCGTTCTTCAAACCCTAGTACATGTCTCCGCACGAAGAGGACAGTCGTCTGTCCTCGAGTCTGACTGTTTGGAACTGATAAGTGCAGTCTTCAGCTCAACCACAGATCAGTTTGATTGGGAGGAACGTGCGTATCTGGACAAGATTCGTGAGTTGCTAGTGGGCTTCTGCAACTTGGAAGTCGCTCACTGCCCAAGAGAAGCGAACCGGGCTGCGGACTGGGTTGCTAAGACTCAACGTTGCTCCGGCCTCCCTCCTTATTGGGTTTTTTCTCCACCTTCGGCCCTGTGGGCCATAGTATGTTCTGATGCTTTGTCTCTGAACTTGGGCTTATTTCCTTGTTAATTATGAAGAAAGTTTTCACGACCAAAAAAAAAAAAAAAACAAAGTTTCATAAACTTATATTTCCCACTCTTTTTTAGAAATTCATATGTAATTAAAATAGAAAAGGACTTAAATTAATCATCAATCCAGCTGTTTTAAATTTATTTTTCCAGTGGCTTTTGACTAATAATAGTATGATAAAGTAACTCCATAAAAGCATCACTTTGCTCATGACTACAAAGATCAGGCCAATCAAGTAATCCTAGAGAGAGTAGGTTTGCTTTTGACGCAATTCGCAATTGAGGTGCAATTCTTTTCAAAAAAAAATTTGGGTTGTCATCTTGTCAAGTGTAACCTTTTCCCTTTCTTTTTATTAGAAATCTCAAGGAAATGCAAGTGCAAATTCTTCTTTTCTTTTCCTTGTGGGTACATGTATTTTATATTGTTACTGAAGTTCATTGGTGTCGACACGGTAGATTGATGAGGACTGACCAACAACTCCCTCATATTTTATAGTTTACTTAGACTTGGACATCTACTAAATTTTGTACCACTTTACTCTGGTGGGTCCCAGGCCGGCCATTTCCATGTCCCAGATAATGAAAATCAGAAATAGCAACTCAATTTCACTTAATACCAAGTTAAGAATAATATGGAAAAAAAATTGAGGAATTTTTGTATAATTCGATGTACATCAATGAATTGAGGAATTCTTGTATATTTTTCGATGTATGTCAATGAATTGAGGAATTTCTATATACTTTTCGTTTAGTGGTCAGATGGTATCTAGACCAGCTCGTGACGTGTCATTGCAGAAATATTTTTATCTTATATGATTTAGATTTCATTTCAATGTAGGAGCTCATATAATCACATTGGATTAATTGTGCTAGCATCGTGTTACATTCGTTTCTCTCAACTAAGTTTTTCCTTTTCAAATATCGATAATTATTCAGACATTTTTAGCCAGTTCTCGTTGAATAAGGCAGTCTCGTTAGGTGACTATTGAAGCCCATACATTTCGTGCTTCTGAGATTCCCCTTAAGAAAAACACATAATGTCAACGATTCAAATGTAGATTTTAACAAAGGAGTCTTCTCAATATAGGTATTACGATCCATGATATCTAGTACAATGTCATAGGAATGGGTTACGATGGGCATGCGGCCCTGGAGACGCCTTTTCTTGTACAAACATCAATTTCTTCATTTTCGATTGTACTGTCTCTTTGATGTTTTATAAGACGCCAGTAAAGTCCTAATTATAGTGCACATTTTAATAGCATTTCTGTCATAGATGGCTACTAGAATACCGGACTGCACTCACTATCCACCCACATTATTACCAAACTAAGATATAGAAAGTCCAATATAATTTGATCTCGTTACCGTAATTGAGTTATCAAGCATTGCCTCAGCCTATTTCGTTTTTTGTTTATGCGATTAGTGTTAGCCCATATTCATAGAAATTGTTTGCAATCAGCACTCACAAACTATCATAAATCGTTCGTTCTAACTTATTAAATTTGTTACCAAAGGTTGATAGTGACTCTAAAGCAAAACTTCAAGAAATTGATCGTTTTAGTTGCAGACCTGACAGAGCCTGGAGGCCTTTGGAAAGATCCTTTCTACGGATGATCCCTTGGAAAAAAAACTTTCGGATCATGACAACAATGTTTTGAAATTCACGAGAGAATGTGACTTCAACTTATCCATTTCAGTTGTTCTTTATATGTTGATATAATTCCGGGCACCAGGAATAGAGAAGTTGCCTTCACGATATTCTACATTGATATCTAAATTTTAGAAGGATTTTGTTGACATCCCAATCTTAGGCAATTAATTAGAAAGAAAATTCTTTCAGACTAAAAAAAATTAAGAAAATCTTCCATATTATATATGATCAATATCTTCTATTAACTCACAATAATTAATAGAAGATAAATCCAACAGGAGAAGATACTTTTTTGTAATGAAAGAAGAGATTAGTTAGATTACAGAATTTGTTCATTCTTGTTTTTCTTTTGCTCTTGTTTTCAATTTTGTCGGGTAGGATTATGGAGAAAGGCCAATAACGAGTGGATTGATGATGCACTTGATGATGTAAAAACAGGGACAGGCTTCTTTTTGCTGAAGAAGGTATAATATTATTAATGGTTCATTGTAAAAGTAATTCGTTCGACCAATGTATAGTGGACAATTTAAATATAAATTCCGAATTTCAATTTCCACGTGAGAATGATGATTATTTAGCTGCCTGGACTAAGGCGTACTAAAAGTATTATTGGTGTCGACCAGTGTTTGTCTCGACCATTATTTTGTCAACCTATCCAATTATATTTATCGGTGTTAACACGGTAGGTTGATGAGGACTGACCAACAACGCCCCCATATTTTTAGTTTACATAGACTTCGACCCCCACTAAATTTTGTCCTCTTTACTCTGGTGGGCCCCAGCCGGCCATCGCCATGTAGGAGATAATGAAACTCAGAAATAGCAACTCAATTTCATCGAATACCAAGTTAAAGAATAATACGGAAAAAAAAAAAGAATTGAGGAGTTTCCGTATATTTGGATTTATATCAATGAAGAGTCATTAGCCTATAGGCTTTACGGGATGACTATCTAAAATAACAGAATATTACAACAACAATTGCAATCAATCAATGTCAAACAAGTGCAAATTCTTCATTTTCTTGTCCCTTTTCGGGTACATGTGTTTCATAATATTCCTTTTATTGGAATCGACTCGCTAAATTGATGAGAACTGACCGACAACTTTGACTTAATAAAATTATATTGACTTGACTCTGGTGGGACCTAAGCCAGCCAACATTGTGTAGCAGAAAATAGAAATCAGAAACAGAAGCGTAATTTCATTAAAGATGGCATTTAGTTTCAGATGTGGAGTTCGACTCCCATCTCTACAAAAAGACAGAGTAAGAAGACAAAAGAAAAGCTAATATAAACTTTCCCATCAGTCGGAGTCTGTGAGATCTTTGATGTTAGCAGACGATGTTAGCAGACGCAGCTATGATGAAAACTAAAATGAGTTGCTGACTTGTATCCTAAACTACCAACATTAATTTGACTGAGATAACAACATTATCACATTAAGATATATTTATTTATTTATTTTAATTGCTTACCAACTTTTATCTTACTTGATTTAGAAAATTACGAATATCTCTTTGTACTTCTCAAATTGCTAACTACTTTAATAGTCTACCAATTTCGTCTACACATGCCTTTAATTTTTTCGCCTTGTGGATCTTCTTGTTTGAGCCAGCCCTCCCCGATGAAACAATATCACAAAAACAAAAGGAAAGAATAACAATTCGTTGTTTTACTGATTTGTAAATTGTTTAGAAGTGATCATTTTATGCTATTTCCATTTTTCCAATGCTAGAGTAAGATTGTGCTAACAAAATGCTTAAGCAAGAAAAGGTAGATTTACATCCAACTACTAATTTCAAAAGGATGACGGTTAAATAACTAATTGATCCTATATGTTGCTTTTCCTTAAGCTTTCACTTTCGAATAATTGATAATTATTTAGAGTCTATACCTAGAATAAGCTCTTTTGGTTCAAACTTGAGTTGTTCACTTTTTTCTCAATTTTAATTTTTATTAGGGAAAAAGACACAAAAAACCTAAATTATGCCTATTGTGACACATTTATTTTGAACTTTTTTTTTGTGACATAAAAAATCTCAAACTATGCCCAATGTAATACATTTACCTTGAATTTTTCATGTGACATAAGAAACTCCAGGCTTGTACATATGTAACACATTTACCCTCCGTTAAGGTTCCGTTAGATGATTTTTCAGCTAATACAACGTCGTTTTTATTGTACTTAAACCACGTGGGCGCCGTGTCAATACCGTTTGCTTTCTAGCATCCTACATGACAGATTTTTAATGGTTCCCATTAACAGAATTTTAATAGAGAGTAAATGTGTTACATAAGTACACGTTTATAATTTTTAGTGTCATAGAAAAAAGTTAAGATAAATGTGTTATAGTGTCCATAATTTAGGGTTTTTTTGTGACTTTTTCCCTTTTCACTATTGAATCTAATCTAATCTAATTTAGTTTGATATTATATTAGTTTACTGCTGCAAGGGGAGGAGGCCTATGTGAATTTGCCACATGGCCCTCTCTTCAATTCAATTTACACATGTCCCACTTTGATCTTTATATTTTTCTTTTCAGTCACGTATCATTTTATCCTTTAAAGAAAAAGGAACCTATATAAACAAATAGTATGTACAAGATTCTTTTTCAATTTTCTCATACGTAAATTTTAATTCAATACAAAATACATAAACAAATCATCCAACCTAAATGAGTATAAGTTAACAAAGTTTCATAAACTTGTATTTTTCCATTCTCTTTTAGAAATGCGGGTTTAATTAAATAAAAAGCACCTAAATTAGTGACCAATCCAGCTTTGTTGGATTTGTTTTTCCTTTTACTTTTGACTAATAATAGTACGGTAAAGTAACTCCAAAAAAGCATCACTTTGTTCATGACTACAAAGATCAGGACAACCAAGTAATCCGAGAGAGAGTAGGTTTGCTTTTGACGCAATTCGCAATTGAGGTGCAATTATTTTCAATTTTTTTCTTTTCATCAGAAATCCCAATGTCGATGAAGAGCAAATTCTTCTTTTCTTTTCCTTGTGGGTACATGGGTTTTATATTGTTACTGAAGTTCATTGGTGTAGTCCCGGTAGATTGATGAGGACTGACGACGACTGCCACCATATTTTATAGTTTACTTAGACTTGTCGACTTCTAATAAATTGTGTCCACTTATAGTTTATATTGTAAAGTTTGTGCGGTGACACAAACAAAGCGTGCTATCAATTAGGGGTG